CCATTTTAGATTTCAGACATTTCTAGGGAAGCCAAACCTTCAGCCCCCGTACTAGTTCCCCATTGCTATTGTAACAAATACCCAAAACTTATGGTTTAAAGCAGCGCCAGCTTATTCTCTCCCAGTTCTAGAGATCAGAAGTCTAAGAGGGGTCAGCAGGGCTGCAATCTTCCTGGAGCCTCTAGGAAAGGACTGGTTCCTTGCTTTCTTGAGCTTCCAGATGCTGCCTGCATTCCTGTTCGTGCTGTCTTCCTCCACTTTGAAAGCCACAGCGTGGCATCTTCCAATCTCTGCATCTCTGTCTGTCTCCCTCTTGCTTCCCTCATCACATCACCTTTCCCAACTCTGCGTCCTTTGTCACATCTTCTCTGCATTTGGCCCTCCAGCCTCCCTCTTACGAAGACCCTTTGATTCACTGGGCCCACCCCAATAATCCAGGATAAATGTCCCATTCTAAAATTCTTAAATTAATCATATCTGCAGAGTTCTTTTTGCCACGTAAAGTAAACACAAGTTGGGGGTTAGGGAATATGGGGGAGGCATTGTTCTATCTACCACATCTCCCAATGATATGATCATATTTCTTCTCAGCTGGGTGACAGGGGAGACAAGTGGAGAGACTCAAGAGCTGATTAAGAGGGGAGCACTGGGTACTGAGAGGGGGCAAGGAGAGCAGAATTGAAAGGCAGGAGTGACCTTGTATTCATTTCAATGACTTTTTCCTAATTTTATAAGACTAATATCAAGAAAAAAAAAGCAGGCCACAGAACAGAAAAATGATTCAGAAAAATAGATTAAGCAAATTCTGCCCCCCTTCCAAAAAAAAAAAAGGAATGAGCATACTAGTACATACAACATATACTTGAATCTCAAAAATATTTTGAGTGAAAGAGACCAGACATAAAAACTGTATCCTGCATAATTCCATTATAAGAAGTTCAAAAACAGGAAAACTAATTAATATGTGATGGGGAATAAATCAGAACAGTCATCTATGTGAGGTTGGAATTGACTGGAAGGAGGCATATGGTGATGGTAATGTTCTAAATCTTGATTGGGGTCGTGGATACACATGTGCATATGTTTAACAAATGATACACTCAAGGTCAATGCGTTTTTCTGTAGATCAGTTTTACCTCAATTGAAAATTTGAAAAGTAGTTGAGAAACACAAAGGATAGACTGGAAGACTCAAACATACATGTAATCAGACTTCTAGAAGAAGAGAACTGAGGAACTGGTAGGAAGGCAATATTCAAAGAGGAAATGGCTGAGAACGGATGAGACGGTGAATCCTCCCACTGAAGGTGCGCCAAATGCCAAGCAGAATAAACAAACTCCCCACTTAGACACAACATTGTGAAACTGCAGGATATTAAGATAAAATCACAAAAGCTATCGGAGACAGGGATAGGGATAGGAGGAGAAAGAAAGAAAAAGAGAAGATTACCAACATAAACATGCCCATTGAACTGACCTTCATCTTTTCAGCAGCAACCAGGGATACCAGAATACAACAGAACAAATCTTCAAAGTGCTGGAAAAGAGACGCAATAAAAACTATACTCCGCTAAATGAGCATTAAAGAGTAGACAAAATACAGACTTTGAAATGTACAAAAGCTAATTTTTTTTTTTTACCACTCATGCTCCTTCTCTGTATAAACTACTTCAGGATGTTCTTCAGCAAAAAGAAAGTGAACTAGAGGTAATATGTGGGCTGCCCAGTGAACCCAGAAATTGTAAAACATATGGGCAACAAACTAGCAACTGCAGTCAGTCAAAAAGACATTTCATTTTTATTTTAACAGGTAAAATAATATAAAAGTAATATAATGAATGTTCATTATAGAAAACCTGAACAATATAGAAAATTATAGAGAAAATATAGAGCTGCACACAGTCCAGCACGCAGAGATCATGCTGCTGTTTCCAATGACCCAATTCCATCACTGAGGCCCTGTGCCACTGTGCATTCTTCCAAGAAGACGTCTAATGATATACATTATTATACTGGATGGTTGTTCCACACTGGATACAACCAAAGTCTTTTGATTTGCCCTTGCATTTTTTTTATTTTCCATACATTGCTTTAAAGATCCTCGTGTGTGTGTGTACACATGTATATATATATATGTGTGTGTGTGTGTGTGTGTGTGTATACATGTATGTGTGTGCGTGTGCATTTTTCAAGAGTCACTATTTTGCTAGTGTTCTAGTAAAGACTGTTCTAGGAAATCCTGACCACTGCAGCAAGCCCTAGCCTTGTTGGAGCAGATGGGCCTTTCAGCTCCCCTCAAATGAAAGGCACTGGAGGAGCACAAACAGCCCTGGATGAAGAGGCAAGATGTTACTTGAACGACAATGCCCAGAACACACAATGGAAAAGGATAGTCACTTCAACAAATGGTGTTGGAAAAACTGAACATCCACATGAAATTGGACCCTTATCATACATACATCATACACAAAATCAACTCATAATAGATTAAAGCTTTACATCTAAGAACTGAAATTATCAAACTCGTAGAAGAAAATGTAGGGGGAAAACCTTCGTGACATGGGTCTTAATAGTGACAGCATGAATATGACACCAAAAGCACAGGTAATAAAAGCAAAAATAAACAACTGGGACTACATCAGTAAAAAACTTTGGCACAAGAAATGAAACAATCAATAGAGTGAAAAGGTAGCCTATGGAATGGGACAGAATATTTGTAGATCATATATCTGATAATGAGGTAATTTCCAAAATATATAAAGAACTCCTACAACTCAGTATAAAAAAAACTAACTTCTCAATTAAAAAATTGGCTAAGGATTTGAATACACATTTTTCCAAAGACATACAAATGGCCAACAGGTACATGAAAAGAGGTTCAACATATATAAGGGAAATGCTAATCAAAATCACTGTAAGATTTTACTGCCCACTGGGCAGGATGGCTTTCATAAAAATAAAAAGACAAGTGTTATCAAGGATGTGGAAAAGGTAGAAGCCTTGTACACTATCAGTGGTAATGCAAAATGGTAGAGTACTATAAAAAACAGTACTGAGGTTCCTCAAAAGGTTAAAAATAGAACTACTATATGAGCCAGCAATCCCACTTCTGGGATTTATATAGCCAGAAGAATTGAAATCTGGATCTCAAAGAGCTATTATTACTCTCATGTCCATTGCAGCTCTATGCACAATAGCCAAGATGTGGAAACAACCTGATGTCCATCACCAATGAATAGATAAAGAAAATGTGGTATATAATAAAATGGAATATTATTCATTCTTTGAAAAGAAAGAAATCCTGCCCTGTGCCACAACATGGGATGAACCTGGAGGACATTACACTAAGGGAAATAAACCGGTCACAGAAAAACAAGTGCTTCATGACTCCACTAACATGAGGCATCTAAAGGAGTCAAACTCATAGGAACAGAGAAGAGAATGGTGGCTGGAGGGAGGGCGAAATGGGGAGTTGCTAACCAACAAGTATAAAATTTCAGTTATGTAAAATAAATAAATTCTAGAGATCTACTGTACAATATTGTGCCTGTAGACAACAATACTGTATTTGTACACTTAAAATTTTAAGAGGGTAGATCTCATATTAAGTGTTCTTACCACAGTAAACTTTTAAAAAATTTTTAATTAAAACATTTCAAGCAGAGCTGCCCCCATACAAAAAGAACCCTCTCCTCCACCAGAATAGGCCCTGCCTCTGATACAGTGGAAACTTCTCTTGAGTTCCAGCTCCCTGGGCAAGTGACACCAAAAAGCAAAAGCTGCTTGCAGAGAGTGGTGAGGTTGAAACCGCACCCCTGGTGTGATGGGATTCCCCAGGGGAGGCTGAGCTCCACACCCAGGCTCTGCTGCTGGCACGCAGTGCTGTGGGGGGGCCAGGTCAGCTTCCCAGGCTCACTCACTGGGGCGGAAGGCAGCGTGTCTCCTGGGCTCTGGCCCTTCCCGCTGAACAGACCCACGGATGCGCTGAAGCAGCACTTCCCACGGGCAGATGACAAGGAAGGCGAATCCTCCAGAGCCAGGGATGAGGCATCAAGAGATCTACAGCAAAAATCTGTTTCCACCTTTAAAATGCATGCGCTTTTCGTATTTTGCTCCATACTCTTTCTGTATTTATTTGTGTAAAAATGTTTCTCCTGTTCACCAAGGAAAACTGAAACTGCAGGAAGGTGGGGCACATTCATCTCTTGGCTTTACAAATCCCCAGCACATGGGACGCTCCCCATGGAGGTGCATGGAGTCCAGTTAGAGAAGCAGAGGGCGTCCCTCAGGGGTCCTCCTCCACCCCCCTCAGTACTTGCTCTCAGCACCCGCTGGTGGTCCTCAGTGGGGGGGCCCCTCCAGGTGTCGCTCTCGATCTGTACTTGGCCGTCCCCCGCAGTCAGCAGGCTTGGCAGCTTCTTCAACGCAGTCACTCCCCTTGTTTCGGAGAACAGTCCTTAAACCCACAGAACCCCATTTGCCAACACCGGTGAAAGGGAGAGCTCAATAGATGTGCATTTAAAAATGTATAAATTGTATAACTGTACCTGTATATTTTATTATATATTAAAGGATACACAAAAATAGGGATTTTTGAAGGATGGATTGTAAATTAAATATGAACAGAAGGTCTAATTTCTGCTATTCCAGCCAGTCATCAGGCACAAACTGCTTTAGAGGCATGGCTGGAAGCAGCCTCTAAAGAATCTCTTTTGTTCCTTAAAGTTTGTTGGAGACCCCATGGGCCTGGTTAGCCATTCATCCTAGACTACCGACTAGCTACAGAATGTGAATGTCTTTGTCACCTGGATGAATGTGCCTGAGGGTGGGGAGAACAGAAGAGAGGATTCACCTTCACCCTCAGACTCAGAAGGATCACATCCTACAACCACTCAAAGTATAAAGAAGTCACAAACAGCTGCAGGGAGATAACCTGGGGGCTTCAGCACAGGGATCCTCTACGGTGAGCTGCCCAGCATAGGGGTGGGTTAACTTATGACGATGAAGTCCTCCATGTATGGCCAGGAGTGGGTGGCTGGGGAGACACTGGGTGTGATGGTGGGAAGTACTGAACCAGGAGGCCAAAGGTGTGGGATGGAATCCTGCCTCTGCCACATGAGCCATGTTATCCCAAACTCTTCAGGTTCTCTTTGTGTCAATCAGGGTGTGGTGGCGGTGGTGATGACGATGATGAGGATGACAATGAGGATGACAGCTTGAAACACAGTCCTGTAATTCTGAAGTCCATGCTCCAAAGAAGGGGAGATGGGAAGGGACAGGTCTCCTGTATTTGCCAGCACCTGTGTCTCCTGTCTGCACCTCCATAGCCACTGTCCACTCTGACCCACTCCACCTCCTTCCCTGGGACATGGCCTGGAACTGAAGTGCCTCAGTGGGCTTCTTTGCCTTCTGCAATTAGGTTCAGCTAACACAAGACCCCAGCTAGAGATCAGAGACTGGGAGAAGCATGAAATCACGCATTTAGTTGCTATAGGTTGGCTACAGCCCTGTGCTAAAGGCCACAGCTATCGCAGGTTGTCCTCTTCATCACCTACCCTGTCGGGGTTCCAGTGGCCTCTTGCTCTCCTTCAGGAGGACAGTGAGAACCCCCACTTCACCATCCCTACTGGCCGCCGTAAGCCCTGCCCACACATCACTAAACTCTCTTCAAATGCCCGGTTTGGGTGTGTTTATTGTTTCCTCCCAACATCTTGACTGAGTTCCCTTTTCTAGTAAGAACCAGATTCTTATCATCTCTTGACTGAGAGAAGGAATCACTGACAAACACTGCATAGTACTTACTGAGCAGTTAATGCATACTGCATTCCAATTAGGCTACAAAAAGTCAGAAAGCATCACTTTAGTGCAAAGGACCTAAAATCTCAGTTGAAAGTCAAGGCATATGTACATCAAAATACAAAATGTACCTCACACATGCTCAGTGAATCCAACTTCTTTCCCTTCTATTACATGGAGAAACCTGATTTACAGTTGCTGAGCCCCTTGGTGACTTGCCCGACCAGGTCCCCTACAAACCATGTTCCCGTAGCACCAGAAGGTATAAGAGGAAAATTCCAGTTGTAAGCTTTCCTATTGTAGCACATATGCCACCAGAATTTCCAGTTTATTCATCTATGTCCCCAACAAGGCAGTGAGCCCTGGGACGGCAGGGACCCTACTCATCTCCTCAACCATTCCGTTCTCACCTACATCTTTGCAGTGGCTCCAAACCAATCTTCCTGCTTCGATCCTTGCTCTCCACCCCCGTTAACCATTCTTCTCACACACTCCAACCACACTAACCCCTCTGTATGTCAAATCCGCCAAGCTAAGTCCAGTCTTTGGGCTACTGACATGCTGTTCCCTCTTCCTGGAATGCCTGGCTGCCTCCATGCTCTCTCGAGGCCTCACATCCTCTCTCACAGCTCCTTCTACAGTTTCCACTTAGCACTCCACACCATGTGAAATAACCTTTTCGTTTATCACCTGTCACTCCCATTATATTAGCACCATGAGAGAGGGACCTTGTCTGTGTCATTCACCACTCGATCCCCACAGCATGGAACACTGCCTGGACACATAGTATGTTCTCATTAAATATTTAGTGGGTAAAGGTATAATATTCAGATGCTTTGGAGCAATATATTGAGAGCAGAGAGAAGTTGTTTAAGCAAAGGTAAAGGAGAAATAAACGAACTTAATGCCTTATGTTGTTTTAGCAGACAACTAACAAGAAAAGCAGGCTGGCCATAAAGGAAGAGCCAAGTGCACATGCAGGGGAGGCACTAGACAGGAAAAGGCCCCTGGGCCCTTTATAAGGCTGGAAACCGTGGGGAGCTTCTGTCCTTCACAGAGACTGAATGGGAGCACGGACCTGTACAGAGCCACCTCACTCTCTTAACCCCTCATCCCCAGTATTTTTCTTTCTCTCCTTTCACCTTTCCTTCATCTTCTCTACAGGTACTGAAATACCGGCCTTATCTCAGCACTATTGGAAAAAGTCTCTCTCTTCAAGAGGTCTCAGGAACATCAGACCAGACACCAGATTTTTAAGAAAATAAACATCAGAGTTTAACAATGTGGCATAGACACTATGATGCTCAGGATGCCTCTGGCCACATTAAACCCAGACTCAGCTGGTTTAAACAGTAAGGGAGATTTATTTTCTCACACAGCTAGAGGTCCTGGCAAAGGGACACGGCCAGATCAGTTAGATCAGTTTCTTGCAATACCCTCAAAGATCCACTTCTGCCTTCTCATCCCCAGTACCAGCTTTGTCCTCAGCTATCATCTCCCATGGTCACAGATGGCTGCCACCATTCCAAACCTCACATCAAACAAGAAGAAGAAACAAAGGGGAAGAAAAGTGGCTGCTCTTTCTCAGGTTTCACGTTAAAACCATGGTAATCTTTTTTAGAAATCCTCCCAGACTTTTTCTTTTATGTCTCATTGGCCAAAAGGGGCTCGTGCTCTCCCCAAAGCAGAATGTGGCAATAAAATCAAATTACCATAGTGGGATTATATGCATCGAGAATTGCTCTTGAGCAGGGAATGGGTGTTGGGGAGTTTGCCAATAGCACCTTTTACAGGCACTAGTCAGGAGTCTCATTCTGTTCTGAGTTAAGTAGAAGGTGTGAAGTTACCCAAATTCCAATGTAATGATCACTATGAAATTCAGCATGCAAAAGATTGCTAAACCTTAAAGTATAAAATAATGGGAAAATATGTAATTGATGATGGAGAAAAGAGAGGCATCTAATTCTAATTCTTTAATGGAGAGTGGGGAATGGGTGAGTGGATAATGAGCAGGAAACTGGAATGCTTTCTCAGAGGTGATGCCATTAATAAAGCCAACATATCTAGACATTTACTATATGCCCAGCACAGTGCTAAGTGCATTACATAATTAACTCATCTAACCCCTTCAACAGCCCTCTGACATAGTCACTACTCCTTCCCACTGTAAGCTGAAGAAACTAAGGCATGGAGAGGTCAAACAGCTTTTCCCAGGTTGTCAATTTTGTTAACTGGTCTCTGGATTCAAGCCCACACAGGCTGATTCCAGAGCCATTCTTTTACTTAATCCCTGGATCATTCTTTCTCCCCATTCTTGAAAAAAGCTTCCAAAGGGACCAATATGAGTTCCCCAGAAGGTTAAACTAGAGGTGGAATGTCTAGGCAGAAGGGACAAGTATACCTGCTAGAAAGTTATTACCTGTTTCAGGCAGGAGGTGGTTAGGACATCAGCTGGTACAAAAAGAAAGAAAAAGGCCAGTTGAAAAAATATATTTTTGAAAGAAGAACTATTAGTATTAGCATTGATATAACTGATTATGGATGGATCTTCTAGAACAGAGTCTCATGCCAGTGACCATAAGAAAAATTGCATTTCTTTACAAGATTCACAGGACCTGGAACCGAATCTAGAAAGCCAGGCAGTGGCAAGCAAGTTGGCTCACAAAGCCAGTCTATGCTCTCCCTGTTCTCCTTCCATGTTCCAAGGGAAGAGACAGCCTTTCTCCTCATCACCAAATAAGCAAATGGCCAGTGGATGGGTAGACCCACCGCTGATCTAGTCAGTGGCCAGAGCACAGCCCAGCACTGCTTCTCCCCCAGGGGCCTTGGGTAGGGCATTTTCAGCCAAATGCAGAGACCAGGATGCAGGTAAAGGAGAAAGAAATTCAAAGCCCTGATTTACAGGACTGGAAGGAGAAAGTTATTAGAAACAGTGAAGTGGTTGGAAAACACTTAAAAGCTATTTTTTAGACAGAAGGAAGATGACATGCTGAGTTTGAACAGGTTGGTTTGGGAAGATGGTGGCACATCCAAGAGATGGCATTGGAGAGGCAAGACTGGAATGCAGGGTAGGTCTGTATAGACAGAGGAGAGTCAGTCACGTAGATGTGCTCATCCATGCAGCACTGACCATGTCTCTGTTCTAGGTTCTAGAATGGTCCTGGTTCTGCAGCAGTGATAGAATAAAGCCTCTGCTAATACGTGGCTCACATTCTAACGTCCAACCCCTCAAAAACAAATGGCCCCTTGCACAGTCCCCACACTAATCCCTGTACCCTGTGCAATCACACAGGGAAAAGTCACATAGTTGGAAAGACAAAACAAAGATGGCGAAGAAGAAAACAAGACTGGGAGGGTGCCATCACAGAAGAATAGGGAACTGAGAGATCGTCATTTCATGGAAACCAAAAGAAGAGCGAGTCTAAAGAAGAAATTAATGTCCAGTGGGCCCAGGCTAGCAGTGAAGAAAAAGCCACTGACTCTGACATGAGGGTTGCCATTGGTCAGCTTTGAGCAGCGGTTTCTGACCCTCACTATGTGTCAGAATCACCTGAAGAATTTGAAGACACACAGATGCCCAGAAGCCATACCCAAGATCCTGATGCAGTTGGTCTGGGGTGCAGCCTGGGCACTGGCACTGGTTTTCAGTTGTTTGGGTCACTTAAATATACAGGAAGAGCTGAGAAATGTCGCTTTAAATAAAGAAATTTCAGCAGTAGAAGCTAGATTGCAGAGAATAAAAAAAGGAGGTTTTTTTAGTAGAGAGACTAGCAGTCTGAACATCAGACACAGATGTTTAGCCTCAGTCTCCTCCTGCCTTGCCATGTGATTTAACCTCCTTTCGTCTTATCTGTGAAATCAGGACAGAAATACTTGCTGTGCCCAACTCAGTTTCCTTGGGAGGTCAACCACGGGATAATAGATGTAAGAGTACTTTGAAAAAAGACCCAAGTGTTATAAAAATGTTAAGATTTAAATGGTTGTCAGTTTTTTCCCCAAAGATGGCCCTAAAGATAGTGATTATCAACTGCTGAGACCTTCATGAAACTGGCAGCCCTTGCCACACGGAGCTCACAAAGCAAGCAGCCTTTGATAAGTACTCACAGCCACTATCTAAAGGTCTAGTGCTGTCTGCAACTCACACTTTCCCACAGCTAGACTTGCACCAGACCTGTAACAGATGCAATGTCCATAGCATGCAAATCCTGCCTCAAATTGCCAAATAGACAGCCATCCAACATAAAACTAAAGAACTAAAAGATGCTGCTGTAAAGATTAAAAAGTAAGTGTAATGTGATATGGTCTCCATTTAATTATCAATCCTAATTGTTACAGAGAATGGGGAAGGCAGAGGAGAGACTGAGAGATGTCTGTGAGAGCAGGCAATGCTGCAGGATCAGAAGAGATTAATTTCCCTGGCAGATGGGGAAGAACTGTCCAAGATCTGAGCCAAACCCAGTAGCAGAATTTAGTGACCACTTGGGATCTCCTGCAAGTACCTGAACAGGTCTATCTACATAATGTATGTCAGCCAGGTCTCTGAGAAATGAAGCAATAATCTCAATCCCCTGCATTCTGCCTGCCTTTGAGGCAGCAGTTACCCCCAGGTGAGCAGTGGTACCTGTTCATGGTGACTAAGGTCCAATAGGGAGCATTCTTCAATCATAGATGATCACAGCTGTGAAGGGTGGTATTACAACATGCTCTCTACTCACTTCTGTTAGATGTTTTCCTTCAGTACAAATGTAAGAAATATAATACTTTGTCAAGGAAACAGAACTCTGAGCAAAAATAAAAAGATAGGCGAAATCCTACATAGGAGTGAAGCTGGGTGTCAGA